ACTTTGCCTGATTTCAGGACATTACACATACTGAGATTTGTTTTATGATCGACAACATAGTCTATCTTGGTGAATGGCCCAAGTGCATTTGGAAAAAATATGTAATTTGCTGTTAATGGATAGAATATTTTATAAGTGCCAAGTAGGTCAAACTAGTTGGTAGTGTTGTTCAAACTTCCTATATCCCTAAAGATTTTCTGTCTACTTGTTTTAGCTATTACTGAAAAGAGACATTGAAAGCTCCATGTACAATTGTGGATTTGTCCATTTCTTCTTGTAGCAGTTCCATGTTGTAATATCTTAAAGTCCTGTTATTGTTATATAAACCTTTAAACTGTTACGTTCTCTTGAAAAATTGATCCCATTATCATGATGAAAAGTCCTTCTTTATCCCTAATAATATTCATTGTTATAAGGACTGCTTTAATGTAAATATAACCATGTCAGCTTTCTTTTATTAGTGTTAAAATATCTCTTTCCATCCTTTCAGTTTGGGCCTATCTATGTTTCTATAATTAAAGTACATTTTTTATAGACAGAATAAAGTTGGGCCTTAGTTATTTTTTCCCCCCAAATCTGAAAATCCCTCCCTTTTGCTTGGAGTTATTAAGATACCTTATATTTAATGTAATTATTAAAATGATATGGTCTAAATCTACCATCTTTTGTTTTCTATTTGTCTCATCTGTTCTATGTTCTTTCTTTTTTGGTTTTTTACACTTTCTTGCTTTCTTTTGGATTATCTTATAATTTTTTACTTACTTTCCATTATTGGCCGACTACCCATATTGCTTTATTTTTTAATAGTTGCATTATTGTTTATATTTTATATCTTTAAGCTATCACAGTCTACATTCAAATAATATTATACATCATGAATAATTTAAAAATTTTACAGACTATATTTTCATTTCACTATATTCCCCCCCTCTGTTATTTGTGGCACTGCAATTACATACTTTACTTCTCCTCTGCGGTCAATCCCACAACATACTATTATTTTTCCTTTAAATAATCTAATACATCTTTTAAAAAGATTCAAAAAGTAAAACAGATTTAGAATTTATCTACTCTAAAATAATTATTTACACTGCTCTTCATCCTTTTGCAATACTGATTTTCATCAATTATTTTCCTTTTCTCCAAAGGACTTTTTAAAATATTACTTGTGATGCAGATCTGCAGGTAATGAATTCTCTCAACTTTTGTGCATCTGAAAACATCCTTATCTGAACTTCATTTTGAAATTTATTTTACTTAGTATAAAATTCTTGGTGACTTTTATTGATTTTCATTACTTTAAAGATGTCTTTTCATCATCTTCTAGTTTGCATAGTTTCTGAAGCAAAATCTGTTAACATTTTTATCTTTCCTTTCTGTATAAAATTAATCTTTTCACACTGGCTGCATTTAAGATTCTCTCTTTACCACTGGTTTTCAGCAATGTGATTATAATGTGTTTTGTGGTTTTCCTCTTTGGATCTGTAATTTTATAGTTTTTATCAAGTTAGGAAAATCTTTTGGCCATATTTCTTCAAATATTCTCCCCATTCCCTTCTCTGGGACTCTATACTTAAGTTAGGCTGCTTGATAGAGTCTCATAGCTCACCAATATTGTGTTAATTATTTTCAGTCCCTTTCTTGCCTTCATTTTTGACAGTTCCTTTTTGTCTTCAAGTTTATTCATCTCTTCTGCAATGTCTAATATCTGTGCATTGTTCATTTCAGAAAATGCATTTTTGAAATTGTATTTGAGCCTTTTTATATCTTTTATTTTCTTTGTCATAATCCCGTATTCTTCTACTTTTTTTTTTTTTTTTTGACATACTGAGCAGATTTATAAGGGCCGTTTTAACTTCCTTGCCTGCTAATTCCAACTCTGGGTCTATTTGGATTGATTGCTCAGTATCAATGAAACGTTCTTGCTTCTTTGCATGCTTGGTAATTTAGATGCAAGGCATTGTGAATTTTAATTAGTGTGTATTGGATTTTACAGTATTCCTTTAAATAGTTTAGGATTTTGTAGAATTACCATCTGATCCAGTAATTGGACTACTGGGTATTTACCCAAAGACTATGAAAACATTAATTTGAAAAGATATAAGCACCCCTATGCTTATTGCAGCCTTATTTACAATAGCCAATGATGGAAGCATACCAAGTGTCCATCCATAGATGAATGGATAAAGAAGATAGCGTGCGCGCGCGCGCACGCACACACACACACACACACACACACACACACAGAGGAATATAACTCAACCGGAAGAAAGGGATGGAATCTTGCCATTTGCAACAACATGGATGGACCTAAAGGGTATAATTCTAAGCAAACCAAGTCAGAGAAAGACAAATACCATATGATCTCACTCATATGTAGAATTCAAGAGATAAAACAAATAACAAAAAGAGACAAACAAGCAAAAGACTCTTAACTATAGAGCACAAATTGATGGTTACCAGAGAGGAGATGGGGGAGGGGGGAGTGGTGACATAGGTGAAGGGAATTAAGAATACACTTATCTTGATCAGCACTAAGTAATGTATAGAATAGCTGACTATATTGTACACCTGAGACTAACGTTTTATTTTAGTTAAACTAACTAAAATATGTTAACTATACTGGAATTTTTAAAAAAAGGAAAAGAAAAAAATAGAAAAAAGTAGTTTAGGATTTTGTTCTGGCATGAGTTATTTGTTAGATCATGTTCATAGCAGTCTTTAGTCTAGGGCTCATGACTACTAAGGCGATACCTGTTTACCTCAAGTAGTTGAGGTAAATTTACATTTACTAACATGAAAATAATTTCCAGGACACATTGTTGAGTAAAAAAGTCAAGTTGTCAACACAATGCAGAGTATAATACCATTCATGTAATATATTAAAAAGCCCATAAAACAATCCTAGTATTTCTACTCATACATAATACATACACAAAAAAAGTGACATAGAAAAATGATTATTACTCTGGTACATATCTCTGGGAAAGGGAGTGGCTGGAGGGAGAAGAGATAACAGAAAACACATGGAACCTTTAAATACAAGAATTTAATATTATGTGGCTAGAATGTTTTCATGTTAAAATACTTAAAAAGGAAATAATTTTAAAATTAAAAATAAGTATTATAAATAAGTATTTCTAAAAGGCAAGATTCTTCTTAAACACAATGTACACACAGCTCTTTAAGTAAGTCTAAAACTCAGAAACTTCTTTGTTGTTTCTGAGTTGTTCATGTGCAGATTTCACAAATTCACTGATGGCTACAAGACACCAACATTATGTGACACAGTTATCAGAAATACATTTTTATTCATCTATGTAGAAGCAACCCTTTCCTAAGACCACTCTATAATCTAATGGGTCACAAAACTTTGCTGGACCCTTTTCCCTATAAAGATCCTCTTGTCTCACTTTTTGATTAAAACCCTTTCTGAAAACTTTCAATGGGCAGGGTGGTGGGGAGAAAGTCTGGAAACCTATATTGCATCTTTTACACATTTCTGTGTCCTTAGAAAAAATGTTCCACTCAATAAGCCTTTCTTAATACTGTTCTCAAGAGTAACTTTTATCTTTGCACATCTTTAGGTAATCAATAGAAGCTATGTGCTATAAATGTTAAAATAAGATTTATTCTTTTATCATTGGAATGATGAAGACAAACTAGCTCAGCATTACACTTTACCCAAAAGTTTAATACAGTTAAACACTATCTTTAACCCTTACTTAGAGGCACATACACATCCACACAGACAAATGAAGAGACACACAATATCAGGTAAACTATAATAAAGGTGTGAGTAAAGCTTTTTCCTATGGCTCTGTCTTATTAATGAGGTAGGTACTCTCTGGGTTCTAATCTATCCCATTGTCCAGTGAAGTGTCACATGAACTTAATTACGGAACAGGGCAATCTTAGAAAATCCAAAAGAGAAAGTGAGAGACAAAGAGAAAACAAGAGAGCATACTCTGTGTAGATTTATATAGAAACTCAAAGGACAAATATATCTATAGTGAGAATTTCAATCATGGGTTGCTGGGCAGCCTTTTCTCAAAAGGCTCACCCCACCTTGATCTTTCTCTTATTAAAAGCTGAGGAGACCAACTCCGGGTTCTCTCTGTAAGACTTCCCATGAAAGACAACATTTCAACTCCAACAAGGAGAGAGCAAGCTGGTGTTTGCCAAGGAGAAACATTATGGGATCTTTCTCTTAATGTTGTTTAAAATGTGAATTTGTCTTTAAAATCCTCCACAGCTTGAGACCCGTTATTTCAGAGATCAGCAATGTAAACTCGCAAATGAGGTACATGATTTAGTCTTTGAGACACCTGAGGCTCCAGGGCATTTACTGTAATAGGTTTGTGAAATAAATGCATTGAGCTAAACCCTATGGTTTCTTGAAAATGAATATTATTATAAAATTTCAAACCAACAAATTAAGTGTGTTCGTATGTAATATACATATTTGAATCACATTACCACCTGCCTGTTGTGTCTATGCTAACTGATCAAAAGACATTCTCTCAATTATAATCTTCTTACCGTCCCCAACAGAAACCTACTACTTTGTTTATTTTGGACACTACAAAGTCAATCATTCTATTTTAGCATTATTCAAACTATGTTTAAAAAAATAAGAAAAATATCACATGTGCCAAGTGCAGATTTTAAGAAGCCTAGGGAAAAAAAAAAAAGAAGAAACTGACCTACTTTTCCTATGAACCTGGGATCCCGATAGTATAAAAAGAACTTAAAGGACCATAATACAATAACAATTTTAGAGGCACTTACACATTTAAAAAAGAGAATGATGAGGTTCATCTGTGATCCTTCGGTAAATGGTCAAAACCCCATCTTAGACTTCCTCTACTCAGTTTGTTCAGTTGTAACTCCATACTTTTACATTCTAAATTATTCCTTCTTTTCTGTTGTAACTGCTTATTAGTGAATACAGATTATCTGTGTGGTAACAGACAGCTCCCTTGAGTCTGGCTACATACCCAAAGCTGCTACTTTGATGATGATTGCTTGAATGTTAGATGATATCATCTCTCGGAGCAAATCTTCCTGGTTTCTCTGCCAAAGGTAAGCTAAAGGCTGAAGATTAAGCCTTTGACACCTATAAAAGAAAAAGAAAAAAATAGGATGATATCTTAATGTTCTATACTTGGATCCATAGCAATTACTTTGATTTTAAACATAATGCTTCTCTCAAGGATTTTAGCATTTAAAATGCTTTAAAAAACATGTTTTGCATAATGAAGTTTATATATACAACATAAACATATTTAATTTCCACAGGCTATGCATAAACAGATAAAAATGAAATCTTCAGGCAGATTAGAAATATTAATTTTAGTAAGGCTCTAAGTTTAGAAATCTATGCTAAAAAGCTTCCTATGCCAATGGATGATTATTCTTGTTTTGAGAACTTCTTTGGGTATCAAAACTGTGAAGCATATGCAAAATAGGCAAATCAACTTATCCTAATGAAAGAGTCACATATTGATTAAAGTTACAATACCTATGGTTACATGAACTATTGTTATCTACTAATTTAGACATTTTTAAAAAGAATTTGATTCTAGGTGAAAAAAAAGAACAAAAAGTACTATATACTGAGTACCAAATATGTTGTAGCCATTATGTTACATATTTTACATTATGGTGCAGTAGAAAGAATGAAAATTCGAGTCAAGACAAATGTGGATTTGAAACCTATTCCTACACTAACTGGCTACATGACTTTGACAAGGCAATGAAACTCTAGGTCTTTGGTTTCCTAGTTCATAAACAGGAACAAAAATATTTCCTTTCAAAGTTCTTGAGATTAAGAGTTTAAAAATTGAAGTCATCCTTTATTCCTTTTGTTTTGTTTGTTTTGTTTTTTCATATTTCTCATCCGATCTACTGCAATACAGGGTAGAATCATTCCTCACCAATACCACTGCGAACACCCTGGGCTGAGTCACCATTATCTTTTGTGTCAATATCCCCCTAACTTCTTTCCCTGCCTCTATCCTTACCCTTTTAAAATCAGTTTTCAATGCAGCAGCCTGTGTGATCCTTTTAAAATATAAAATAGATCATGGGATTGCTCTGCTCAAATCTTGACATCATTCCTTGTAAAAGTCCTCCAAGAGACCTGCATGGATCTCATTCTGGTTGGTTCTCACGCCTCATCTCCTACTAATTTCCCTTCACTCCAACCCATGACCCAGGACTTCCCACTCTTGTCTAATATACTAGACATGCTTCCTACCTTCTTCACTTGTTTCAAGCCTTTGCTTAAATGTCACTTCCTCGAGAAGGACTATAATTGATTAAAAGTAATACAAATAAAGAAAATAGTACAAATGCCTGGATAAAATAAATATTCAATAAGTGGTAGTCAAAGCCAAGCGACTTGCCCAAGACACAGCATAAGTGGCTAGAATCAGATTTCAAATTAAAAACATAGCTCTAAAACCCAGTATCTGTAAGTTTGTTTGGCTGAGTTTTCTAGCCCACAATGATCTCCTTTTCTCTCAGAAAATCCCAATACTTAGTAAATACATGTGCCACATGTTTGGTCATTTACTCATACATGGCCTTAAAAATATCACTATTTTTAGGGATGCCTGGGTAGCTCAGTCAGTTGAGTGTCCAACTCTTGATTTTGGCTCAGGTCATGGTCTCGCAGTTTGTGGGTTCAAGCCCCATGTCAGTCTCCATGCTGACAGTGTGGAGCTTGCTTGGGATTCTCTCTCTCTCTGTCCTTCCTTCCCTCTCTATCAAAATAAATAAACTTAAAAAAACATATGTATCACAATTGCAGTTAATAAACACAAAAATAATAAAATTGAAACTACCCATATAACAAAAGTATTATAATTCTAGCTGTCCTCTTACCAGTGTTTAATGCCTACCATTCAAACTGGGCTCTCTACCTCTTCTAAGATTTTTTTTAATTGAAAAAACTTTATTCCTCTTTATTGTATCTTTATTGTAAAATTCTTTGTTGTTGCTTTGGTAACCAAAAACTTTTGACTATTTCTAGACTTAAGTCAAACTTTTTTTTTTTACCTATTTAAATTCTTTTTTTTTTTTTTTATTTCTAGGAGACAGAGAGAGAGACAGCATGAGCAGGGGAGGGTCAGAGAGAGAGGGGGTCATAGACTGAAACAGGCTCCAGGCTCTGAGCTGGCAGTCAGCACAGAGCCCGACGCGGGGCTCGAACCCACGAACCGTGAGATCATGACCTAAGCGAAAGTCGGACGCTTAACCAACTAAGCCACCCAGGTGCCCCTACCTATTTAAATTCTTTAACAGTTCAAAATATCAAGATTCAATTATACTTCCTCTATAAGTCACTATTGCATTTGAGCTGTGACATTTATGAAATATTTTATATCTTGAAAGTACACTGATGCAATACCAACTACAAATGGAAGACAGCCTAATTGAAAACTGAGTTTATTATAAACCAATGGACTCCCAGTAACATTGCTTTAACATTTCTAAGGATAAAATTATTGGAGATATGTCTAATGGTATAAAATCTGGGTATTTTAACCATGTGTTGAAGTGTACCTGAGACTGTTTTAAGAAAAATCTTGCTCTATCTATGGGTATGCTACGGAACTTTCTCCCATATAGATGTAAAGCAGCCTCTTAATCAAGAGCACATTTTCATTTGGCTTTTAACTTTCATAAATAAATGTCAGCCCCATCTACAATTTGGCTACCCATTAAACTATGTGGGCTTGAACTTATTAAAAAACACAGATTTGTACACTAAATAATTCTCAGAGAATATGACCTAAAACTTGATGAAAATAGTATTTCTAACATATGGTTTAAGGGATATGCAATCCATATCCATCTGTAGGTCAGTTGTTCTCAAATGTAGGCAAGCAGAATGTAAGGAAATCTTTTTCAAGACCTCTCCCACTTCCACCTCCACTCTCTCTTCTCCAGAGATACATACCCCAAAATATGAAATCATCATAGTCCTCTTCTCTTAATTATGCTTTGTCTTATATTTCCTCCATTTACTTTAAAAATTTTGGATTTTTAAAAATGTTTTACATTTAATTAATTAATTAATTAATTATGTAAGTAACCTCTACATCCAACACCCTGAGATCAAGAGTCACATGCTCTTCCAACTGAGCCAGCCAGGCATCCCTAAAAAGTTTGGATTTTTGACTGCCTTAAGTTCACTGTAGAACTAGAAACAAAATAAATGCAATAAAAAAATAAAACAAATTTTCAAGTCAATTAATATGCAAGTTTCTGATGTGATACTCAATATGAAGTTTCTATGCCAAGAATGTGAAACAATTATACAAATACAGTCCTTATCTGATTTCCATTTATCCTTTTTAATAGCAAATTTACTTATTTTTAGGTCAAGTAGTATGCAACATTACTACTGGAATCCACATTTTCTTTTTGCTGATATAATTATGTGTAAAGTCTCTATACAGTATTTTATTTATCCAAATAAACTAAAAATGAAAAATAAATTCAGGTGATATGCCAAGTGAACATTAAATAATCAATATTATCATTTGACTTTATGGTTTTTGAATAGATCAATTGGTATTTGGAGATACAATATTTTAATACCCTTAGAGGGTGAGGAAGATGGAGAGAGCAATAATCTAAAAAGTCTTTGAAAGTTGAATGACTTTATATATAAGTATTTTAATCACATGAATATTTTTGGCCAAGGACTGAATTCTAAGGACTAAAGAAGGAAAGATTCCCTAATAAGCTTTTTCTTTCTTTAAAATAACACTGCTCCTGTTAGTTAGCTCCTGTTATTAGCTCCTGAGTTTTATTACAAATGATGATGAGTTAAAAGGTATTAAAAATGTATGCTGATTCAGATAAGGTATCACTGAAAATAAAACTTTTGATTTTAAAAGTCTCTGTCTTGATTTTCCATTATAAAGAGTTTATTTTTCCTTATAGTAAGTAAGCTGGAATTTTCTCCATATGTGATATCAGGATTGAAAAAAAATAAACTTTTATTACTTTGGTAATATAGTTAGTTCCATGAAGTATGTAGAATACCAAATTCTATTTATTATTTGGATACAATTGTGTTTTCATTTATTCACATACTTAAAATACATGTAATTTTTTTAAAAAAAGGAGAAATGAATGCTCTCTTACACATTTTCTACTCGAACACGCTGGTAGTCAGAAAGTATAGCACCTACGGATATCCCCTCTACTTGTTCTTTTTCCTGAAAATAAAAGAAAAAATAGAACTTTAAAAATAAATAAACATGTGGCTATGCACCATGCTCTGAAAATTATAAAAGAACTGTGTCTCATCTAGAAAACCATTTTGAAGCAGAATAATTTATGAAAATGCAATCCACATGAAAAATAAATACATATATTTAAGTCATACTCTCAACTGTGTGGAAAATAATTTAAAATCCAAATAACTAGAGACCATTTTCCATGAAGAAGTCAAAGGTTTAGACAGTACTTTCAAAATGTCTTCTCACTAAACATATTTTCCAAGATTCAATGATGTTCAGGTAAAATTTTTGAGAAATTTCTATTTTTTTCAGACTGGATAACTTAATTAATTAATAATTTTTATTTATTTTTGAGAATGAGAGACAGAACACAAGCAGGGGAGGAGCAGAGAGAGACAGAATCTAAAGCAGCCTCCAGGCTCTGCACCATCAGCGCAAGGCTCAACGCGGGGCTTGACCTCACGAACTGAGAGATTATGACGTGAGCCGAAGTTGGAAGCTTAACCGACTGAGAAACCCAGGCACCCCAGACTGAATAACTTAAAAAAAAAAAAAAAAGCAATGGTATAAGTAAAAAGGGACACAATAATATATATAATTTATAATATATATATTATATATATATTATATATATAATAATAATATCCATTACCTGGATAACAGTTTAGCACAGTGAATAAAAAATTCTATGGTGAGAAGGAAGCAATGGACTGCCATCAGCAGAGTTACAACTGAGACTATCCAGCACTACATCGAGCAGAATCTCATAGGGAGGAGGACTAGTCTATCCAGTGTGCTCATTAAAGAAGTGGAGGAAATGTAAAGTCAAATATGATCAAGTTTGCAAATGATACAAAGCGAGGATGGATAAGAAAAAAGAAAGGAGAAAAGAAGATTAAACATGTACATGAATGGATATGGAGAATTTGGGGATTTGGAAGGACAGGTTTAAGATAAGACTTAATAAGTGTTAACATAGTACACTTAAGGAAGAATAATGTATAATACAGGTATACACTAGGGATCTGTTATCTAGAAAACAAATATGAAGAAAGTGAGTAGGGAGTAATTACTAACAACAAACTGAATAGAAATTCCCTGAATAGGCATAAAAGAAAGTCCATCCTGGTATATGATGTACAGAAGAAACTACTTAAGAAAGACGACTTCATTATTAATACTTTTTCCATACTTGGAAATCTACAAAGAAAAGCAATAGTGTTTCACATAAAAACATATGTAATACTTTGAGGCATATTGAAATAACTAGAGGGTCCTAATAGGATGCCATCATAAACAAAATGTGCACCAGGAATCTCTTATGTCTTTTGAGATAAAGACAATTTAAAGTTTCTCCTCCAAAATGAGAAATACCTGCCCAAACAGCCCCAAAATAAAATGATTCTATTAGATAAGGTTTACAGGAAAAAAAGCTATTTCCTGTACTTTCCTAGTTTAGCAATTTCATGAGAGAATTTACTTATAACTTTTCCCTTCACTTCCTAGCCATTTTCTTTTCATAAAAGTCACTGTATTCATTAGAAAAAGTCAAGGCATAGTGTTCCTAAATAAATACAAATATGGCAGATGCCTGTGTGGCTCAGTCAGTTAAGGGTCTGTCATCCAACTCTCCTCTTAGGTCATGATCTCCAGGTTCATGGGATCGAGCCCTGCATTGGGCTCTGTACTGAAAGTGAAGAGCCAGCTTGGGATTCTGTCTCCCTCTCTCTGTCCCTCCCTGTCTCTCTCTTAAACTTAAAAAAAAAAATGCAAATATGGCATAGATCACAGAGTAGTGAATAGTGATATCAAAAGATCAAAATCATTTCTATTCCTATACCATATAGTTGTTTGTATGAAGTTCTGCCCTAAGAAAATATAAAATACTGAATTTATATATGTACATGGGTATATTTCTCTATACATCAAAGAAACAAAGATAAGAACCACTGGTATTCTTTTTTAACTAAGTCATGCCATTGTTAAAACAAAAATTGGCATTTACAATCCATTTAAAATGTGCTATCATTCTACAATTCTCATTTAATGCTCACCACAACCCTAAAATGGTTATTATGTAATTATTTTTAGTCTACATACTTTCTCTGGAATTCTCTTCTATTTCCATCTCTTTTATCTTCTTTTTAATAATGCCTAACTAATCAGCTCTAGAATCATATACCTAACTGAATTTGGACTCTTCTTCCAAACTAGGCCTAAATAGAGATTATTCATTTTTTAATGTGAGAATCTTTTTCTATTAATTAAAAAAAAAATTAATTCCAGCATAGTTAACATACAGTATTACATTAGTTTCAGTGGTGCGATATAGTGATTCAACAGTTTCATATATTACTCAGTGCCCATTGAGGTAAGTGTATTCTTTAATCCCCTTCACCTATTTCACCCCACCCCCTGTAGCCATCTGGTTGTTCTCTATAGTTGAGTCCACCCGGGGATTTGTCTGTTTTTTTCTTTTTCCCATTGGTTCATTTGTTTTCTTTCTTAAATTCTACATATGAGTGAAATCATATGGTATTTATGTCTTTCTCTGACTAGCTCATTTCCCTTAGCATTATACTCTCTAGCTCCATCCATGTTGTTGCAAATGGCAAGATTTCATTCTCCTTTATGGCCAAATACACACACACACACACACACACACACACACACACACACATATAGAAATACATTATACACACACACACACAATCTTTTTCCATTTATTTATTGATGGACAGTTGGGTCGCTTCCATAGTTTGGTTACTGTAAATAATGCTGCAATAAATACAGGGGTGCATATATCCCTTCAAATTAATGTTTTCATATTCTTTGGGTAAATACCCCCTAGTACAAATACTGGATCATAGAGTAGTTCAATTTTTAATTTTTTGAGGAACCTCCATACTGTCTTCCATAGTGGCTGCACTGGTGAATAGTGCATTATCTTACCAATAATGCAAGAGGGGAAAAAGAGCCCTTTTCCTCTACAGACTGACCAACACTTATTTCTTGAGGTTTTGATTTTAGCCATTCTGATAGGTGTGAGGTGACATCTCATTATAGTTTTGATGTACATTTCCCTGATGATGAGTGATGTTGAGCATCTTTTCATGTGTCTGGCCATTGGCCATATGGATATCTTCTCTGGAGAAACATCTGTTCATGTCTTCTGCCCATTTTTTAAAATGTTTATTTGAGAGAGAGAGAGAGAGTGAGTAAGCATGAGCAAGGAAGGGACAGAGAGAGGGAGACAAAAAATCCAAGCAGGCTCTGTGCTGTTAGCACAAAGCACAATGTAGAGCTTGAACTCACGAACCATGAGTTCATGGCCTGAGCCAAAGTTGGAGGTCCAATCGACTGAGCCACCCAGGCGTCCCTTCTGTCCACTTTTTAATTTGATTGTTGTTATTTTTCTTTTGGGTGTTGTATTGTATAAGTTCTTTATGTAATTTGGATACTAATGCGCTTTATCAGATATGTCATTTGCAAATATCTTCTCCCATTCAGTAGGTTGCCTTTTAGTTTTATTGGTGATCTTCTTTGCCATGCAGAAGCTTTTTATTTATTACTTTTTAAGATTTTATTTTTAAGTAATCTCTATACCCAACGTGGGGCCTGAACTCACAACCCTGAGATCAAGAATCACATGCTCTACTGATTCAATCAGTCAGGCACCCCAGAAGTGTTTTATTTTGATATAGTCCCAATTGCTTCTTTCTGCTTTTGTTTCCCTTGCCTCAGGAGACATATCTAGAAAGGTGTTGCTGTGACCAATGTCAGAGAAATTACTGCCTGTGCTCTCATGTAGTATTTTTATGGTTTCAGGTCTTGCATTAGGTCCTTCATTCATTTTGAGTTTATTTTTGCGCATGGTATAAAAAGTGGTCCAGTTTGTTCTTTTGCATGTATATATCCAGTTTTCCAACACCATTTGTTGAAGAGATTGTCTTTTAATGTGAGAATTTTTATTTTGACAAATAAATACTGTGTAAAAAATTTTAACTTAAAAAAAGAAGCAAGTAAAAATTAATGTTTACAAATTATTGTACAAATAATACAACAGTACAAGGGTTAAAATTTTCAAAGAGGAAAAATTTTTAAAAAATGTCCAATTGTATAAAGGCTCTTCCCTTGCAGGAAACAGGGATAAAGCTGAAGACTCAGTTTCACTTTGCTCCTGAAAAATGTAGAAAATAACTTAGAATAAAGAGTTGAGGTCTAATGCTAGGAACCCACGATGTGTACCTGCCTACTCTTAATCTGACGAAAGTTCACAACCAGAGTGCCAGGCAGAGCTGATGGTAGGATAGGCAAGTTCTCTATCTGGGAGTCCATAATCTAAATATAGATCTACCTAATGACCTGTTCAACAATCAGGATTACTGCTACCCATTAAAAATCCAGCCCTTCCACCTACTAGCTCGGTGATTTTGAACAAGTTACATAATTTCTCTGTGTTTCAGTTTCCTTATTCATAGAGAGGATAATAATAGTTCCTGTTTTCTAGGGTTACTGTGAAAACTGAGTAAAATAATCCAGATCAGTAACAGTAAGCACTCAGTAAATATGTTGTGTCATTATCATAATCTTCTTCCTTATGACTACTACTTCTATACTTTGGTTACTATTTCTAGTATTACTGCTACTGACCACCACCAGCACCATCCACTCCGAGTACTACTACGGAATGAAGGCCTAACTTGACAGACAAAACCCTTCATTCCTAGACATTAACTTCTTGCTAATTATCACTCCTCAACTCTAGCCTACTAACTGTGATGGTTAATTTTATTTGTTAACTTGACTGGGCTGGTAAAATGTTATTTCTGTGAGGATATTTCAGGAAGAGGTTATAATTTGAATTGTTAGAGCTGAGTAAAGAAGATAGCCTTAGTCAAAGAGGTGGGCATCATCCAATCCACTGAGGGCCTGAACAGAACTAAAAGGCAGAGGAAGGGTGAATTTACTTTGTT